TAGCCTCGCTGCCATACAAAGGCCAGGTCACTGAGCAGACAACTGTAAAATGGTCTATTACCTTAAACCCTTGCATATTAAACACCAGGCTCAAATAACTGTTGAATTAAAATAAATGCCAGGCCCACTGGAGAAAGTTTAAAATAAATGCTAGGAGCATTTAATCAATAAAATACCTAATCATGCCTAAATCTATTAAAATTAACTTGATAACACAAGCACAACTTCTGATTTTACTACTAGAACAACAACCTCTGATCCATGACTAAGCCAATAGTTTGTCTCAACGTTGCTATGCAACTGTACAATGAAAGCTAACACCTGGATTACACAGAAAAATCAGAACTGGTTCTCGTTCTCCCAATACGGTGCTAATTACAGACAAAGAAAGCCCTGTATAACTATTAAAAAAAATGTATTGGTCCCTTGTTCCAAACGTTTTCTAATCCTCTTAGTACTAAAAGATGTCTCGAAAAAAATCTACATTGTCCTTCACTGATTGATCATAGATTTCTAACATCAATCTTACATTAATTGGTATTGATTGTTATCAATTATTGTTATTTCATTGACTGGTCAGTCTGAGGTGCAGTGTAGGACCCTTGCTCAATATGTAGACCTATTTACATAGTAACTAATATACTGATGCAGAGTTTAATTACTAAACAGCTTCTGAACATGCTAAGATCTGGTTTTAACTCAAACCTCTCAAATTATGTACTGAAGAACATGCTACACCAATTCTCAACCATCTTGCATGGCAAACTAAATTAAAAAATTATTGGTCAAACAGTTAACCAAGAGGTATGGCCTCCTACAGAGGTCTTTTTTTCAGTATATACTTTTCTTTATCTTAAGATATCTCTGCTTCCTGTTTTTTACTCAAGACTGATCAACATTTTCTGTCACCAGTGACAATCCTGAGCATGCACCACAGAAAGACATAGTTAGAACTCTTTTAATATTAACCAAAAGAGAATTTTGGCCATGGCCATGTTCCCATACGGAGTGAATAGAAATTTGCAATAGTAGAAAAGGGAATCTCAGCTAAAAAAAAGAGACAGCATTTGTGCTGTGTAAAACTGTTTCTGACCAGAAATGTAACATGTAACACTTGAACATTATGAAGTGTACAACCTTTAATTTTAATATTACATTTATCATTAAGACGTCAGTTCAATTAACACAGTAATAAGCGCTCTATCATTTTCACTTGTTAAACATACATAGAGCTTTCTGAAATGTAGAGATGAAAGACAGCTTCAAGGTTAATGTTTAACATATTATATCCTCTATGATTCATCCACCTCCTCAATGGGAGGTTCACCTGGCTCCAACAAGTCTGCATTAAAGCCATCGTCTGTTTCAGCAGTACCCTGAGAAGTACTAAGCTGCCGCAACACAAGCTTCTTATAGACACCGTTATTGGCTAGTAAGTCCTCATGACTTCCACGCTCAACAATGTGACCCTTGTCAATCACCAAAACCTGTTAACAATAACAAAGGCACTAGTTAAAGGTTACATTGTGATGAAGAGGAGATAAGGAGTATGTTTCTCCAAGTGGCTCATCACAACATTATCCATTTCTTAACATCAGTCATCATCAAAATTTATCATTCTAAACAGCTGCTTGAATAGGGGAAAGAGCAGGCCTGCATAAAAAAGTGATTGTCCTCAAAACACACACCTGGTCAGCATTACGGACAGTAGACAGTCTGTGTGCTATAACAAGAACTGTTCTGTTCTTCATGGCACGGTCAATGGCCTCCTTCACATAATGTTCACTTTCTGCATCCAAAGCACTTGTTGCCTAGGAAGAATTAATGAAAC